ACCCACGAGGAGGCCAGTCACAAGTACGAAGGCCTGTTTTCTTACTTAAAGCAAATAGATTTATTTGAACTTCCTTTTTTTGTATTTTGTGTACATTTTGAAAATTGATTGTGCAAATTGTTTTTCCTCTTTCAGATTGTTATTGATGAGAAGACGTTGCTTATATTGGGAGGCTGTGGCGGTCCAAATGCAGTAATTTTTTTATTATCCAGTTTTTTTCCCCAACTAACAAATTTACTGACAACAAAAGAACAATTATGGGTTTCCACTGAGGGATTTTACAAAACACGTAGTTTTGAAAAATCACAACCTACAGGAAGAGAAAAAAAGATGGTGACAGAAGTTGTGGAACTTCTTCGTCCACATTTGCCATTTCTAACTCAGAACTGCCCTCTAGTGGATGTGGTGCCTAACAACTGCGCCAACATGTTGAATGCTTTGAAGGCATGAGGGCAGGAGACGTATTTACATACGCAACAGGACCATAACTAGGCCTTTAGCCGCTTCGTCTGGTGATCAAGAAGCTGGAGACATTTCATTCATCTGCCATAGTCTCCGTTGTGAAGCCGCCTCCAAGGGATTTTACTTTTGACAATTTTTTCTGAAATTGTCACGTTTGGCCTTCAGGTTTTTATGCAGCTCTTCAGAATAGAAATGATGATGAATATCAATTTAATATGAATAATTTTATTTTTGTTTTATTCAAGTTTATTTAATCAAGGACAGAACAGTAAATAATGCTTCATGGTAAAAACAAGCAACTTTTCTTTATTTTTTTTATCTGAAGGTTTTCTAGCCAGAAGCTAATTTGCAAACTGTCCTTGGTTAGACATTTAAAAAAAAAGATGGCTTTATTTACAAAGCCTAAAGGGACCAAAGTGCTGTTGAGAATAAAAGCTTTTAAAACATTACAAATGCCATTATAAGGACACAAAAATCCCTGATTGTTAATATATTTCTAGAAGTGATATTTTAAGCTCTTGCCTGCTTGGCGAACATCAACATTCATATTTTAGTTAATTCTTTCCCATTGTGGTTCTCAGCTTCTGAAAGACGCCTGGCTCCTCCACATGGAGGGTCCAGCATGGAAGTGGCAGCAGCTGCAGGTGGAGAACGAGGACCACGGCGCCCCAGAGTTATGGTGCCACCCGGCTTGTAAAGTGAGTCTTCGACCCGATTACGTACCAAATCAAATTTGTACTGACGTGTTGCTGTTCTATGCTTCCCTACTTCCACTCGTTACACGTCAGCAGTCCATTGAATCATCCCGAAATGGGGCCGAGCGATGAGGACTTAGAAATTTATCACAGTGTTTTCTGGTACCACTGTGATAACAATAAAAATTATAATTAAAAAAAAAACTATTTATTACTTCTTTTTTATGTAACTGTATAACTAACCCTTTAGTATATTACAGATAAGTTCATTTTTCAGGTATTTTGGAGAGAAATTGTCATAAAGAGGACTAAATGTCACCAACATTGTGAATCAACCTTACATTATGCTCCTTTATTTAAAAGATATTTCTTGTGATTATGGTTCTGATCCCCTTTTGAGACATCTGAGTGTCTTTGCATTTGATGAATTCTGATTCCCGATCAAATAAAAGCACTGAAAATAACAACATTGGTAAAATGAAGTTGATCTTTGACATAAACTTCTGTATCAATCCAGACCTGGATGATGAACTGAAAATTAGTAGATTATTGCATATTGCTGTTATTTTTTATGATTTAATGGATATAAACTATTTGTATGGTCAGTACCCAACACCCTGAGGTAAATGTCTCCATTTCTTACCTGTAACGTTGGGATATAAAATGACGTGAAGCTTCCTTCATGTTGTGTGTGTGTTTGTCTCTGACCTGAGGTTTTCCTCCTGCGTGTTTCTGCCAGGTGGGCCAGTGTGTCGTGGTTTTCTCCCAGGCTCCTTCCGGCCGCGCCCCTCTCAGTCCAAGTCTTAACTCGCGACCTTCCCCCATAAGTGCCACGCCCGCCCCTCTGGGCCCGGAGCCCCCCTCCCTGCGCTCTCAGTCCCCGATTCGAAGCGGCGCCGCCGGCGTGGTCCTAGGAGCCGCCGAGGAGGCTCCGTGTGTGAACGGTCGATGGGGCACGCTCAGACCGCGACCCTCAGCCAGAGGAAGCGCCAGAGACGGGAGCCCCTCCTCGTCCCAGCAGCCGTCTCCGTCTCAAGGCCCCGACAGCCCCCCCCTCCCTCCGCTCCCCTCTCTAATAAACGGGTCGTCCCCGTCGCCCCGGACCAGCCCGGCCCAGGGCTGCTCCCCCCCGTCCCGTCCTCACCTGCCAGGCTCCACAGACTACGGCTGGGAGTCGCCTCCCTCTGCCGCTCCGCACCACGACGTCCCAAATACTAACGGCCTGCACACGCCGCCCTCCGGCTCCCCGCTCACGCCACCTGGAGCCGTGTCCCCCGCTGCCCTAAGGCGAGGCCTGGAGGCAGTGAAAAACAAATCTTCCTCATCTTCACCTTCGTCTTCCCTTCAAACACAGGGGGCTTCTCCCATGAGCGGTGGAGGAGGAGGGACCGGCCCCTCAGGAACCCCTCCGTCCTCCTCGTCCAGCCCCCCGCAAGCCGCAGTAGCCGATGGACACGCCATCCCGCCCATAGCGCGGCGCCTCGGCCATCACCCACCTCAGAGCCTGAATGTAGGCAAACCGCTGTACCAGTCGCTGAACTGCAAGCCCATGCAGATGTACGTGTTGGACATTTCCCGGGCCAAGTCCGCGGGGGTCGTGTCCTGGAAGGTTTACGGTAACGGGACGCCCGCGGCCGTCACGGGGCCTCCGGAGACCAGCCTTCACACCGTGGTGCAGGGCAGGGGGGAGCTCATCATTTTCGGAGGCCTCATGGACAAGAAACAAAATGCTAAGTACTACCCTAAAACCAATGCTTTGTACTTTGTACGTGCTAAAAGGTAATGCAGCTCCGGACGGGACGTTACATTCTGCAACAACATAAGGGAACTAACACACAAGGCCTTTTACCTGTAGGAAGGATTATAAGAAAGAACTTTATCAGTGCTAGATGTTTCACTTGAATTTCACTATTGTTCCTTCTGCCTACCGAACGCATTCGTAAGGAAAAACTTTAACTACACTTTGACAAAATATTTGCTTGAATGAGAATTGTCTGTGTGCGAGTTTGTTTAGAGAGGACCAGACATTTTTATTGCCCCTCCACCCAACCCCAATGATAAACAACCAAGCAAAACATTTGTGTGTGTGAGTCTCCCCTTCTAAACTCTTGAAAAGAGAGAAACCAGTTGATGAATACCTTGCTTTTTCTATCTCTCTTTCAAAGCCTGCAATGTTTACATAGAAACGGCGTGTGTGTGTGTGTGTCTGCGTGTGTGTTCGTATGCATGATGGTGGTTAAAAGTGGTTGACTAATGTGTGTCGGAGAGTCGACGGCGGCTGAGCGATGTGGCACTGTACTATAAATAAAGTTGAACAATAAAGGCCTCCATGTCTGCTCGGTGCTGGAGTTTGTTCTTGTCTGGTGTGGAGAAAACGCGGCTGCTTTTCCGCTAAAACAAAGTGTCTCTTTGTTGGGTGTAATGACATTAGATGTTCTGCCAAAGCAGAGAGATGGTGGCATCGTCTGTCCATCTGCTGCTCTTCTCTGCTCCACTTCACAACTTTGGTTCAAATCAATCCAGCAGGACAAAACTTAAACCTGAAGAGAAGTTAAAATCCAGATGACAGAATCCTTAGATTATTGTCTCTACACAGAAATGTTTGTGGTAAAGAAAACCAACTAACAGCAGACAGCTGAAAGCACATTTAGATCCACAACTTCCTACCGCTGTCATGGATTCAAATACTTTTCAGACACTGATTAACTTAAAAAAAAAAAAAAAATTAAATGTATGAATTCCCAAAAAAGTTTACGTATATTATCAGAAGTTGAGAAGGCCTTGTTGATGCAGCTGCTCCATGTTTACTGGGCATCTTCCTTTCTGCCCTGTGTCTGAAGGTCACTAGCAGCGCAGACTTTTTTTTTTTTTTTTTAAGAAAAATGGATTATTTCTTAATATGGGATGATTTTTATCAAACTAAAGATGGTAAAATTGCAGATCAAATGGAGGATTTTCTGACATAATTCCAGAATGGAGCAAATCTGATCTTATGAAGAAAGGCAGTTGAGGCTTTTTTATAGAGCGGCATTTCCACAGAAGAAAAATCTTAAAATAAAACAGATGTTGGGTTCAATAAAAATAGCTTCTCATTTGTTAACCAGTCTTCTGCATTTAATTTGTTTTACCAATTGATCAATACAGCAAGTGATCCATGTCTTGTTCTTGTTGCTGAACCCAAAAATTAGCAACTTGTTTCCTTCTTTTATTCATAAAATCATGTTTTATATCTAAAATGATGGTTTATACATCACTTTTCTACAAAAATATGACTAGTTTTTTCTCTCCAGTAAAGTTTTGTATATTTAGTTAATCATTGAGAAGAACAAGCAGGGCCGGATTTTCATGGATGTGGGCCCTGGGCTAGAAAACCTTTTGGTGCCATATTCACTAAAGAGAAATTATTTTTCTAGTAAATTAATAGGTAATCCTAAACATAACTGAGTTATTATACCAACTGATGATGGTAAGTTTAATACATCCTTTGACCAGTAGCTCCATGAAATTTTATTACGGTTCACTTTACATGGACCTATGAGTTTATAAAGTACAATGTTTGTGAAACATGCACTCATTAAAAAGAAATAGAATTTCCGAATAAAAAATAAAAAATCTGTACCCTCATTTTCAACCCCCCCCCCCAAAAAATCTGGCTCCTTCCCCTGAAAGACTTTTCTAAAGTCTGGCTCAGGCCCCAAGTGTCTGGACTTTTCTGGTCGCTGAGGGAAGCAGCGACATCTAGCGGCTGCTTTACACCCTACAGGAAGTAAGAGTCATCTCAACTTCAAGCATTCAGATCAAGTTTCATCACAAATGCCTTCGAGCTTTGAAAAGATGTTTCAAAATTAGCTAAAGGAATCACACGTAAAAAGAAATCCACAAATAACTAGATTGGAATAGAAAGAAGTACATAAAACGCAGCTAAATAAAACGAGTGTTTATGTTTGTTTTGCTGGTGGGATTATCCAGATTACACTGTTGGGAGCAGGTTTCTCCTGGTATTGACACTGACCGACTCTGCCCTGCTTTCTCCTCACCCACACGTTAACCTTTTACCCAGAGAGCTCCGATAGGAGCAGCGCTGGGGCCGAGCGCCGCTCCGGCCTCTGATTGGTGCAGGCCGGGCCCAGCGGTGACGTGGCAGGCTGCGCCGGGCCCGCATTGGCTGCGGCGTGGGGCAGAGGAGGAGACTGTAACAATGAATGTGCTGAGGACACATGTTTACAATGAGACGAGGAAGAATGGAGCTGCAGGCTGAAGGCTGTGGGGCACAGAGGAAAATCAGCGCACACAGCAGATAAGTGGACCAGTGAGTTTTTATCTCCTTTCTGCAGGTAAATCTACTTCCGGTCAGTTTTACTGTTGTTGTAGATGTTTGAGCATAGAGTTGAGCCACTGTTCAGAAAGTCATACAGAGGAAAGTGTTTTGATCTGAGCAGAAATCTTACCAAGCGTTCTAGTTTAAATATTTTGGTGCACTTGGAAGAGGACACTATATACTGATAGTAACTTTTCAGCAAGATGTAGAAGCTTGTTTTGAGTAAATATCTCATTAATATAAATAAATAATTACTAGCTCCACTGGCAGATATTTTCACTTGCAGCAAGACATTTTACCCATATTATAAGTTAAATTATCTTCCAGTGGAACTAATAGTTTTCTAGTGAAACGAGCTCTTATATCTTGGTGAAAAGTTACTTGCAAGTCAGTTTGGTCTTGCTTCAAGTTTATCAGAAACTAGACCACAAATACTCTGATTTTTGTGTTTTTTCAGTGTGTACTTTTGTCATTTCAGGAGGATTTTCCGTCATCCCCAATGTTGTGGGAAAAAGTGAAGCTTCGACCTTGGGCTTTTTGTGAACCAGCCAAACGTCAGACGTGAGAAGTGTTCACTTAATAATGAATGCCTTCGATTGGAGGTGGAGGCTCCTGCGTGTGCACTCCCAGACAAGGAAGTGAAGGAGAGTGACGACAAAGAGGGCAGCAGAGTGGCGCAGTATCGTTCTGTAACTGACACAAACATGCAAAGCAGACAATAATTCATCCCTGCAGCTGATAAACTGCACAGCTCCCTTCTCTTCCTCTGCACTGACAAACCGAAAGGACCACTCAGGGATGACTGGCGCCCAGCTGCTGGAAACTTCCCCCAAAGAGTCAGCGTTCTCCCACAGGATGGCTTCTCCTGCCGTCCCCCGCAGTGTTTTGGGGCCCCCTCCGGCCGTCTGGCCCCCTCTGGACTTTGCGCTGGGTGCTCTGGCCTGCTGTGCGGCCTGCGTGTTCACCAATCCGCTGGAGGTCGTGAAGACGCGTCTGCAGCTTCAGGGGGAGCTCCGCGCTCGGGGGTCCTACCAGATCCACTATAGGGGGGTCCTGCATGCCCTCTGGGTGGTGGGCCGCACAGATGGGCTCCGGGGCCTCCAGAAAGGGCTCTCGGCGGGGCTCATCTACCAGGCCGTGATGAACGGGGTGAGGCTGGGCTCTTACTCCTGCTGTGACTCTCTGGGCATCACCGCATTTCATGGAGGCAGCCTGCTGTCAGGGGCCGGGGCCGGGGCCCTGGGGGCCCTCATCGCCTCTCCTGCCTATCTGGTTAGTAAATCGAGGTTCAAAAACACTTTGTTGATCCTAAAGGGAAATTAAATGTTGTCGTCACTCGTATTAATTCAAAATTCTTCAAAGGTTTGTTGTAGATGGTTTCGAGCAGGAAGGATATCCTGTAGCAGTCTGTATAACAGCACATTTGAAGAAGCCTCTGACTAAAGACACATTTTCTAAGACAGTGAACTTCATCCTTCATCCTGTAGAATGATTCAAACTGCTGTGCTTCTCTGCAGCCTTTTATGGGTCGACACAGTGAGGTTCTGCAGGGTTAAAACATTAAAAGGAAATCAGCTAACGTGAGAGAAAATGTAAAACAAGTGGATTGTTCTGGTTTTGTTTTATAACCTTTAATTTTTTTTTATTTAGTCATCCTAATAAAAAGAGAGGGCCGTCTCTTTGGGCCACATCAAGTTCATGAATGTCCTAAATGCTGGTTGTGTCAGAATGAATTGATAAAACCGATTAACAAACCACTGAAATATTAATTAATAGATTTCTCTGCATTCATTAAGTACTAATTAAAATTAAATAACATTGAACATCCAGGATTTCGGGATTGTTTTTGGGAATTTTTTGCAATCAAAATCACTGATTTAGTGATACTAATTTAGAAATATTTGCAGGAAATTTTGCGATATTTGCGCTCATGTAGGACATTAAATATGACTTTTTATTATTCATACATAATTTAGCTAAAATTTTAAATACTTCAATAAATTTGGAGCAGCAAATTTAATTAAAATATTTTTACATTTCAATGTCATACATTCAGATAACATCTCTATATATAACATAATAACAACAATAATTATAATAATAATAAAAATTACTGTGTTTGAGAAATCATAGGCACTTATAAAAATGTTGACAAATTTTCAAAATTATTTCTTGTATCAAATCAATACAATAGATATTAATTTGATGGATTATCTGTTGAGTAGTTGCAGGTTTCTTCTTGCTCTTTTATGTTTCTCATGTGTGATAGGAAGTTAAAACTATTGTGTAAGGCAGACAGAATCAACACATGTGTATATATAAAGAAAACCAAATTAGTTAATGAACAACTAACATTGCAGACGCAGCTGAAAATGCAGAGACCTAAGAAAGACTTTGGTACTTACAGCCTCCATAAATATGGATGTTCATGGTAAAAACATGTGCAGAGCTTTGTTTTCTAAACTTTTAGTTGCTTTAAATGTTTTAGTTATCACTCCGACTGTAGACAGGGTCCGGTTCAGTCCAGTAGATATTTTATTGCAGTTATTTCTTCAGTTACGGAGACCAAAGTATGACATCATGTTTTGGTCCATTTCAAACCAGGAAAAATACAAACTTGCTGTAGAAAACCACATTTCTGTTTGTGACCATTGTAATGTCAAAGCAGGACGTCACATTTGGACACCTTGGCGTGTAGCAACCTGCTGCTTTTGAGTCTAATTATGATAAGAAATAATTACATTTTCTTACTTTTTTATCTTCAACTGTGACACTGAAAATAAAACCCTGCAGCTGGAACCCGATCCTGTTGGCTAATATGATCTTCTCCGGCGTTGTGTTGCTTGTTTTTGGGTTAGCTGCTGCAGCATCAGTAGAAATCCAGCAAAAGGTTTTGTGATGCTAGAAATCATCCTTTGAAAACTGTTTGTGCAGTTGAGGAATGACTCTGCATGAACCGGCTTGTTGCTACTTCTGTTTCTAACAGGCTTGACACAATACACACCGACTGTTCAGCTGCATATTTTAGCAGAAAATAAAGATTCAATAGGACTTGTGTTGGTGTTGGTCTCTCCTTTTGATTGAGGAAACCAAAACAAGAGTTGTCCGCTCAGGTCTCCTCAGATGTCTTCGTTCTATTTCCGCCCCAGCAGAGCAGCTCTGTCTGAATGTGTTTGTTTGATGCGTCTTAAATTACATTTACTGCAAGGGAGAATTTAATATAACCCAACCTTTCCTCTTTCATCTGCTCTGTTTGTTTTATGAGTATTTTCCTGACCGGTTTGCTGTTTCTCTGCTTTAGCTTCTACTTCATGCGTTCTGAGCCACCAAACATTTTTGCACCGTCATGGAAAGACGATACTGTTTGTGTCCAGCTCACTAAATTGTACATCTCTTCTTCTTCTTCTTCTGCCACAAAACACATGTGAGCCGCGGCCCCATCTGGGTCCTGCTGTAAACAAACAAAGTGAGGAGTTTTACAGTCTGTATTTAAGTGACTATTTTATTCTTTTGTGGCCTGCGGCTCATTTGTCTCTGTCAGGTGTGTTTGTTTTGTTCCTGTAAAGGCGTGTGTTGTGTAACATACAGGCCTTTATCCTGTCTGCACTTCAGTGATCGTCAGAGAAATAAAGGAGTTTAAGACTTTGCACTGTGTTTTTCTCCACAGGTAAAGACTCACCTGCAAGCTCAGACTGTGGATGCAATCGCTGTTGGTCACCAACATAACCATCTGGTAAGAAAAATATCAGAGCATTGTGTTTATAAATGCTTGTCATAAAAAACTTTGTTAGTTTTGAATCTAACAGAACTAATTTGAATAATAAACTGAACTTAAAATGGAATATATGCATGTTTGGATTAAAATGATTTAATTTTAATGTAAAGGAGATAAACAATATAAAAGAAAATCTAAGAAAGAAGTGCCAACAATTTATTCAGATCAGTTTAATTAAATGAACCTCTGTTATTATAATTATTCTTTTAAGAAACAAAGAAAATGTCACATCCAAAATTCAGAATAACCAGAAAATCTAAAAATAAGTCTAATTTGTGTTCAGGAGTGCAAATAAATGTTTGTTTGTTTTTGTCTTCTGATGTTCAACAGCAAAAAAGCGGAAACTTAAAGATGCAAATCTTTGGCCAAACTGAAGGCCAAAGATTATTGACAACACTGTAAAAAAAAAAAAAAAAGTGCCTAATTTACAGTAAAATACCAGCAGTTGTGTTTGCCATAGTTTTGTATAAATATGGACTTTTACCATATAATTATGTAAATATGGTCAAATGTGTAAAATTCTGGCAATCACAGCTGCCGGTATTTTAACGTAAATTAGAGACGTTTTTTATTTTGTTGTTTTTGTTCTTTTTTTACTGTGTAATATTGTTGAATTTAATACTTTATTCTATGTGTAATGAATCTGTATAACAGAGTTTCTGAAATAAGTGACCAAAAATATTGAACTTTTTCATGACATCCAAATTAATTTTCATGTAAATCTGAGATTTACGTGAGGTTTACCTTTAGCGTAAATATCAAATACCTTAAAATCATTTCTGCTTCATTTAGTTTGTATTTATTTAGTTCGTCTCTCTAAATCATTCTGTGATTTTCAGTGAGTTTAAAACAAAATAAAATTGTTTCAACACTTTAATCAGAATAAAATACAGACCAAATCTCTGTAAGTGTGTAGAGACTGATTTAAATACATCTTTTCTTTTTCCTCAGGGTGTGTCTGATGCCTTTGTTACCATCTACAGAAGAGACGGTCTGACTGGGCTGTGGAGGGGGGTAAACGGGGCAGTTCCCCGGGTCATGGTGGGGTCAGCAGCTCAGCTGGCGACCTTCACCTCCACCAAGGACTGGGTGTCACATTCTCAGGTACATAAAGTAAATTACCTGACATGTAACATATTCTTTAGGGTTGAAATGATTTACCGTATTAATCAAAATTAATCAACTAAATTTGTATTTGATTAGTCATTAACTGGCTGAAAAAAGGCCAAAAAAGAAAAAATATTCTAAAAAAATATTTACATACACTTTGCATTTAAGATATAAGAAAAAAGCATTGTATATAGATATTTTCTATCCAGAACTTCTCAACTGGTTTCACCTGGTTCAAATTCTGTAAAAAAATAATTTAAGAAATCTCTTATTAATCACCTTTTGTCTACCGTTTATTGATTGGTCAATCCAAAAATAATAACGAACCGATCAACTCTGTATTGTTGTTAAGCAGAAAGACCAGGAATATTTTCTTAGCTGCAGATTCATCCGTTGCTACAAATCAACTGATACATAAATATATATGAATACAGCTCCGGAAAAAAAAAAAAAAAGACTACAAAAGATGATCAGTTTCCCTGATTTTACTTTTTATAGGTTTATGTTTGAGTAAAATTAACATTTTTATCTTATTCTATAAAAAACTGACAACATGTCTATGATGTTACAAGCAAAAATTTAGAATTTATTTGCAGAAAATGAGAAAATGTCAAAATAACAAAAAAGATGCAGTTCTTTCAGACCTCAAATCATTCAAAGAAAACAAGTTTATTTAGAAACGACAACACTAATGTTTTAACTCGGTTCAGAAATCAATATTTGGAAAAACCAGGAGGTTTTCAGTGGGGCTCAGTGCAGTGGACTCTTAATGTTTAATTTAAAAAAAATAATAATTGTTTCTTTCCATCTTCTAATGTATTTCTAATATTATATAAAAAAGATTTAAATGCAAACTTTTCAGAATGTGCCAATTTTTTTCATCTGATTAATTGATTTAATGCAGATTTAATCCCTGTTGAATTTTTATCTCGTGTTTTTATTCATCTAATTTATTCTTCTACATTTATCTCAGACGGATCTTCTTGTCTTTGTTTTATTATTATGCTGAAGTTTATGTGCAGGTGTTGGCCGTCATCACTTCTTGTGTAAATAAATTTCCCTTATTGGATCTAAACAAGCGAATTGATTGATTGAATTGATCGATATCGATAACTAAAGCAGCCGTCAGTTGCAGCCCTGTCACCAGTTTCCTCCTCTCGTTGCAGTGGTTTCGTGCCAACGCCTGGCTAACGGCGCTGATCGCTGCCTCCATCAGCGGCGTTGCCGTGGCGATCACCATGACGCCGTTCGACGTGATCAGCACGCGCCTCTACAACCAGCCCGTCGACGAGTTTCACAAAGTGAGTTTGGACGGTCTCTCCCGAGATGTTTGTGTGTTTTTAGGGTGAAAGGTCAAAGGGGAACTCACCGGGTCGTGATCTGCTCCGCAGGGCCGCCTGTACCTCGGGTTCACCGACTGCCTGCTCAAAGTGTGCCAAGCCGAGGGCCTCTTGGGGCTGTACAAAGGCATGGGCCCCGTGTTCCTGCGGCTGGCCCCGCACACGGTGCTCAGCATGCTGTTCTGGGACCTGATGAGGCAACAAGCCGTCAAAGACAAATAGAGGAAAACTCTGAGCTGAAGCACTGGAGCCTCTGGGACGTGAGAGGGTCTCTGAATTTCACCCAAATCTTGACATTTCTGCCACTTTCTGACTGTTTTTAACCAACGACGGCTGAATTCATTCATGAAGGGTCGATGGCTCTTCGGCTGCAAGGAGAGAAGCTCTGGATATTTGCACAAATGCTGATGATCAAACAGAGCTGGTGGCATAATGCCCATCATTATCTGTTCCTAAGTTTTCAAACTAGCATCTTTTAGCATTAGCTGCACATCTGATGTGGAAGACAATCAAACTCTATACAACACTTAATCAAGAGTTGAATGATGAGTATAAAGCCATCGATCATGTTTTACAAAGAATGGCTACTTTGCTCACAGAGAAGGTTGAGTGGAAGGAAAAAGTCTGGCTAAAACGCAAACTGTTTCTCATCAGATGCACTCCTGTATTTTTCAGATTTTTATGCATTTTCCTCTTGCCTTATTGATTATTGTTTGTTTATTCCTGAAAGAAAAAAGATCCTGCAAAGCAGAGAATCTAATTTCATTCGAGGATTTTTTTTTAATTCAAGTTTTTAACTCTAGGACCTTTAACTGTTGTAAGTAATCTCAATAAACATATTGTTTTGTAAACATTACCAAAACTGATCTTGAGTTTTGTCTTTTTAATACACCTGGGAACAAAAACAGTTTCATTATTTTTGTTTCCTTCAGATGTAATCAGTTTCTTTCTGGCTCTTTACTGTTCGCGTTTTGATCGCCAATCTTGATTGTTAATACATAAAGTCTGCTAACACTGAGAGCGTTGTCCTACGTGAGCCAAAAGGAGGCAAAAATAAACAAATGAAATTGATTAGAAAGAGCATTTAACGTTCAGGTGCAACAAGAGCAAAGTGTCAGGCTATCAATACACAAAAAGATAAAAATATAGAATCAAAATTAACAATAAAATAATAAAACCACTGTGCAGTTAATGTAAATAACATTCTGATAAGGATAGGTAGGATCATTTAATAATGTACAAAGTCTGCTTGTTTATTTGTGCAGAAAAAAACAAAAAACAATTTAGAAGAAGTGGAAATAACTGAACATCAAAGATGTGCTAATTTCAGTCTAAATGTTTAAGACTTGTGATTATTACGGCTGAATAAACTGATTTGAACTCAGAGGATTGAATATATTTTTGTCTAAATCAGGTGTCCCTTTCCTTCTGCTTTCAGTTTTATAATTTACCTCTAAGAATTAAAATATAGTTATTGTGGTTGTGACGAGATGCTTTGTTTTAGTTAAATAGGTATGAATATCAACAATGCATCTGGCGAGAGATGATTTCTGGGATAAAGTTTGAACTGTGAAATTAGTTTTTATCTGGTAGACCTAATAAAACAGCAGAGAATAATAATTATCCCCAGAAAAATTCCCCTCAAGTGGAAATACATGAAAAGTTGCTGCTAAAAATAAATCAGAAAACTGATCGAAGGAAAACTTACCTGACAGTGTTAAAAGATTTTTATTAGACATAATAATTATACATTTTAATGATAGGCGGCTTAAATATTAAAGACTTTGTATAAATACACAAAATCAGTAAAAAATACTTTAATAAAATAATAAAATCAGACGTAAAACTCAGACCCATTGTTGAGTCACATCTTGTGAAGAGCGTTTATTTACTTTAAACAATCTTATCTTTTCAGGGGACTTTCAACCTTTTCCATTGAAATTTTTTAGAGCGACAACAGGAGTCAAGTTGTTTGACCTTTGACCGGCCAGAAGCTCGGCTCCTCAGCAGGAGAAACTCAATCAGAGAAACGTTTCGCTGCAGAGCGTTCAGACGGCATGAGTGGAAAATCCTGAGTTTAAGAGTTATCAGGAGAAACATGAACATCTTTTCCCCGTTTGTTTGGATCCTGGACATTTTTCAATGGACTCCTTTCGATTCAAATCCGGTTGATTGTTTTTTTAAAGGTGAGGCTTTGACGATTTATTTTAACACTTTTTGCTCTGATGTGTTTTTCCTGTTTTTCATGCGATGTTTGTACTGTAGGACTTGTAGGAGCCTGTGGAGTTTCAGTGCTCTGTAATCTGATGAGAGTTTACAATTTCATTCAAGTGTGCAGGTGAGTTTATTAAAGAAACAAGGAAAGCATTTAAAGTTACGTTTAGTTATTTTGAATTTCCTGTGCCCTCAGTGATCCTGACACCCAAAGCAGAGACAGATGGATGTCGTCTTCCTTCAGAAATCCTCTGAGGAGGAGATGGAGAGCGGTGGTCCAGTTCTGGTTTCTGACCGGCGTCCTCTCTCTGGTGGGCTGCAGGGTTTCCTCTCTCATCGTGCTGGAGTTTTCCCTCAGAGCCGTTTCTGCATTGACCTCCACCGGACAGGTGAGTTCACAAAAAGCAGAAAAGCAGACGACATGGAGTGAGGAGCTAGGAGGGAAAATTACCCCTTAAAAGTTTAATTTAACTTTCACCAAAGCTCAGACTCAACCCAGTAGATTACTACAGTATGAATATACTGAGAATACACATTACACCTGTAAAACTGAATAAATTTAATCCTAATTCTCTACATTTGGGTACAAAGTGCCTGAAGGAGAAAGGAACATTATTACACTGATTATGGAAATGCTTTTTGAGAGGAACCGAGAAAAATAACAGCAAAAATCATTTCAAAGAGCATTTTAATGGATCCTGCTCTATTTATCTCGTGACTACATCCCAGCAGTCATAAATGGAGACTGTATTTTGATAGATAAATCTATTGCACTGTTTTGGAAAAGAAGAGATTAGACATTTCCCCCTGGAAAGTTGGTAGCATAACAAACACGCAGGTACATTTGAGGAGGTTTGGATTTAATTTAATTTATTTATCAAAGAGGCAAATCTTGTAGGTGAGGAAAATTAAATACAAGATTTGTGTGACCCTGATAAATAAGATTAAATAAAATAGTTGCTGAGAGAGACACACAGAGAGATAACTAGACAAGAAATGAACATAATGAACTAGAATCACTAGAAAAACCAAAGAAAAGCAGAAGTCTGATTTAATCAAAGGAAGAAACTAAGGAACAAAGAAATGAACAAAACCCAAAGCCAACTCAAACATCCCCAGATTATAACAGGACCTGGCAAGATAACAAAACATCAGGATTTACATTTATTCAGAAAAGTTTTTAAAGCTCCAAAAATAACAAATGAGCGGTTCCTATTAAAAATTCAAATAAAGGCAATGTTTTTTTTAAAAAAAAAACAAAAGCATTTTCCATGCTGCTTTTGGTTTGCCTCACATCCGGACTCGTTTTCGGTCATGTTTCTGCCTGAATCCAGGACGACGGGTCCAGAGGTCCGGAGCTGCTCCTGATCCAGAGCCAGTTCTCTCTGGGCTGCGGCCTCACCTGCACGCTGGCCTTCATCCACCAGGGGGCGCTGCACAGCTCCTTCGGCTTGCTCCTGGCCGCTGCGCTCAGCTGGGCATTTGCGAGCTACAGCGGCGGTCTGTGGCGCCATGTGGCCAGGCTGTTCCCGCTGCACAGGACCGATGGTTACTGTGGGAAGTGCATCAACCTCCTAACCTCTGGACACACCATGATGGCCTCGCTGCAAAGAGTGGTTATCTTGGCCTTCGCTACAGCAGCTGTGGCTTCCACCGCCACGGTTTACGAGCACTTCTTATCCCAGAAGGGTGCGATGAAGTTCTGGACTCCACTCACTCTCTGCTACACCATGTTGGTGGCCTACAACCAAGGTGAAGATGCTCGGAGAAGCTGATTAAAGCGATGATTTTGTTAAATCGTTGTCTGTGATCTGCAGCCACATGCGGCTCCTCACGTTGTCTCTCAGTAATGTTAACCAAAATAGTGTAGAATTGAGAAGTGCTTCATACAAGGATAGCTAAAAAGGGTTTTGCTATTATTTAAAGTGTTTTCATCCAAAATCTGCATAAAATTTCCACAGCAGAATAATACAGATAGTATAAATTTTCCAGTCAAGGAAATTAATATATTCTCATGTTTTCTTCCTTCTGAAAGTTAGTATTTGGAATAACATTTTGGTTAAATACAAAGTAAACATTTAGTAAATTTTCATAAGTATTTTTAAACGTTCATGTAGGTTTTTCTGCTTTAAATTGTTTGGATTTGATAGGAGTGAAAGCCAATCAAAAATGTTTTATCCCTGTTTGCACAGTGAAAGAAAAGCTTAAAAAATAGCAATTAAAAACAAAAAATAACCAAATTGACAAACTCTGAAACTGTAAGAATTCAAAAAGTGAAAAAGCTTAGAAAAATTGCAATTATTAAAATGAAAAAACAAGCTATGCAAATACAAAAAGTAAAAAACAACTAAATTTGTTATTGCAAAGCACTGAAAACATGTTGTCAAGGTAGCACAGGGTATTACATTTAAATTGATGAACATTTGTGGAGAAAAAAAATTAAATGTACAATTATTTAAGAAGTATATTCAAATAACATTCAGTGAAAGTCTAACCAGAGATGATGTGGTAACAACTGGAAGTTTTATTCAACATAAAGTATGAAATATATTTTTTTTATTATAGTCAAACTGTTTTAGATGAAAAGCCATAACTGTGAAAATGGAGAAATGTCAACAATAAAAATACCCTCTTAAATTTTTAACAAATGGGCCTAAGCCAGGGGTGGGCACCTCCAGGCCTCGAGGGCCGGTCTCCTGCAACTTTTAGATGTGTCTCAACTTCAACACACCTGAGTCAAATAATGAGGTCGTTAGCAGGACTCTGGAGAACCCGACTGCACCAAGGAGGTGTTTCAGTTATTGGATTCATGTGTGTTGGACCAAGGAGACATCTAAGAGTTGCAGGACACCGGCCCTCGAGGACCAGGATTGCCCACCCCTGGCCTAAGCAAAGCGCAGCTTATGAAAATGGTTTGCTAACACTAGCCAATAGCTAAATATTCTTCAGCTTCCTGTATGAAATGCATGCTTAATGTATGCTAAAGGGATGCTAACAGCTAAAACTGTTGGCTAACACTTATGAAAATTTAAGAAAAACTTTGAAATGTGGAGATTGTTTGGGCTGGCGAAGTTAACAAATTGACCAACAATTAGTTTACAAAACACACAAATAGAAACCAAACCACAGTTAAAGAAGTGGGATTTGTTCTGTACTGGTGTATGACACGAATGCTGAGCTTTTTAGCTAAATAAAAACATGACAGTATAGTTGTACTTCTTTACAGTTTAGAAAACTTGTTAAATATCTTATTGTTTTTGTGCTTGTTAAGTTACAAATTTGGCTAACATTTGGTTTGTATAAAAAAATATTTAAATCAGAGAGGCTAAAGTTGGGTTATTTTTTTTTTAACTTGTGGTAAAAAAAAATTATGGAAAACATCTGGTTGAAGATTAGCTGATGGCCTTGAGTGTTTGTTTTAAACATTTACAGAAAACATCTGATTAGAGAAAGCTACGTAGGAAGTCGTTATCCACAGGTTTATTTAACTAAGCATATTAAACTAACTACCTAATAATAGCAAAAATAATACATTGAACCACTTTTCAATCAATAAATCAATCAAGTTTATTTGCATGGCAATGCGGTTCAAGGTGCTTTACATAAAAAAATACAAAATTACAAAGTCATGAAGAAAACACAATGCAATCAGCAACTGAACAAATATTACACTTTGATTAAAAAAATCATACATCAAATATGTTGGTCAGTTTTTAATTAATTAAATCTGTGTTTCTAGTCTTGATTTAAAGGAACTCAGTGTTTCTGCTGTTGTGCACTTTTCTGGACATTTGTTCCAGATTTGTGGTGCATAGAAGCTGAATGAGTTTTTCTTTCAACGTACAGAGGAACAACATCGGCTGAGCATCACTGAGGCCCTGCTGCGCACCGTGGTGCTGCGACTGGGAGGCCTGCTGGTTCTGATGCTGGCAGTGGGAAACTGGACCGACGTCCTGCACATCCTCGTCGCTTTTCTGGGAGAAGGAGTCTGTCTGCTGCCTTCTGAGGATCTGCTGCAGGCTGCGTTAAAGGTCCTTCCTGTCTTTTATTGCTAAACGGCTCCATTATGAGGAACTTAACAATGACTGATAAAGCTTGTTTGTTTTTAGGAAGAACGAGAACGCAACCAGGACAAACAGAGGACCTGCCTCAGATCAAGGATGAGAATACAGTAGAAGATGGTTAGCAAACACCCCATCGTGAGTCAGAGGAACGGCCTGAATGTTTCCAGAAATGCTCTGAATTTAGTTTTGAATTGGTGAGAGGTATTTGAAATAAAGTTTGGACAAGAAGGAGATAGTTTCGAGTTTGTAGTTGGTAGCCAAAAGGAAACATTTCTGTTTCCTTTCAAGCTGAAAGAAAGATTGAAAATCTCTTATTTGTTATGTTTTAGTCAAACTTCTTATGGAGACGCAAAAACGTATAAAATACTAAAAAGGTTCTGGATGCATGAACCATCGAAGCTCAATCTGTAATAATACCTTACAGAAAAATGTCAATATTTCAATGTTTCAATATTTTAGTAGAAGTCTTGACTTTTTTACACAACTCACCTTAGAATATTTCTGCAGAAAAAGGACATTTTTAAGCGTAGCGTCAGCGAAGCCTCGCTCTACTTCCATGGTTCCCTGATTGCTCCCACATGTTATCAGCTGTTTCTCCACTACATGAGCTCACAGGAAAAGCTTTTAATCTTATTTCTTAACCCAGCATCTTGCAGGTCCAGATGCTTTCATGAGAAACTTTCTCATAAAATAACAATTTCAAGGTTTTTCAGCAGTAAAATAACATGGGACAAAGGACTGTTCTGTCTTTCCAGGAGCAGCGGATATTACTGCAGTTCTGAATTATGCTACTGTACATTCAGTCGGTCAATTAATCTGTCACCATTGATCTGAGGCGAATTCCTCACCAGGGAACAATCATTATCATACGTACAAACAGATGTGGGATTCCTTTTATAACTGATTTATTTTCACTCAGAGATGAGAATCATTTAGAAAATCACAATGAGCAACTAATGCAGTCTAAGGCTGCAGGTCATGATTGTCGTAGCAATCAGGTTTAAAAAAAACTTCACATTATGCAGATTTTTCATTTTTTGTATAAAACTATAAATACACGAGGAGAACCAGGTGAAGGTAAAGCTAGGCCACTTTGGGTAGAAGATATTTAGACAGGTATATTTTTTACTTAAATGCAAATGTATGTAATTTTTGTACCTTTTTGGTTTAATTACTGCTCTGAGAATGTTGTTCTTTCAGAAATAGTTTTTTTTAAGTCTGTATACTCCAGTTAATGATTAATCAATGATTAAATTATTTGTCAATAATCAATTCAGCAAAGTGTAAATCTGTCTGATTAAATAACTGCACGTTTCTTCTGAAAAGAAATACATGCAAGTAGCAATGAGGAGAAAATATAAAGACTGATAATGATAATAAAGTGCAGCACCATTTTCAGTGGGTAGTGGCAGCTTCATGCTGCGTGGACCCTTCAGCAGGAACAGGCTGCTGGAGACTGGAGCAGAGGTTCACCTTTTACCAGGTCGACGACCCTAACCACGTATCCATAGCTACCACAGAAGAAAAAAACGTGGCCTAGTCAAAGTCCACACCAAAATCCAACTGAGAATTTAGGGGCACAACTTTAAAACTGATGCTCTCCATCTACCAGTCTGAAATTTCAGTTTTATTTCTGTTTGGTAAGTTTTGTTTAGAGGGAAATGTTTCCCCAGTACCAGTAGATTTTACTCCACAAATCCTTTGTTTATAATCTTTTAGGATTTTAGAAATAAAATATCCTTTATTTCTATAGTGATAGAAACTCACACAAAGGTAGAATATAAAATATAGAATAAATACTGTGTAGTTATGAAAAAACAGTGTGTAACGGAGTTGGTTGATTAAAAAAATGTGCATGTCTCTGTGAGAATAGTTTCATAATTACATAATTTTGTTTACAACAAAGTCCTAAATCCTCTTTTACTGTTTCCTGTGAATCTTGTGTTGTTTTTCTCCCTTTTGTTCATCTGCGTCTTTCCTGGGTGTTGAGGGAACAAAAAGCGGTGAAAAGCTGCTCTGCGCTGGCGGCAGGTCAGAAATGAAAAGTCAGGGCGCAGAAGGAGGTTCACGGGGTTTAATGAGGATTTGGGCTGTAAGGGGGCGGAGCCTGCGGGTCCCGGGATTGTATCATCCGTGGGCATGCTCCCTCCTGCAGCCGTGACATCACCGCAGCATTCCTTTCCACAGAGCTGGAACAACAGAGACCCCCATCACTCTCCTCATCGCCATCTCCTGTTAACCCTCTCTGCACGCCTCCAAATCTGCTCGACTTCCAACATCCCTTTTTTAGCTTTGAGGGAGCGGAGTGGACGTCACAGACCTCTGAAAGCAGCCATAATATTTGCTGATCAGCAGCCCTGATATGACGGATCCAGTCCGGCGTTTTGGTTGCTCCACACATCTTTGCCTCTACTAATGTGCCACAAAGCGCCAAGATGCTGATAACCAGGAAAAGTTTAAGTCCACTGCTTCAAATGGTGTGTCCCAAATTGGAGCTCTGCAGGGGCCAAAGGCTGCTAATGCCACAGGATACTGATAGTGAGTCAAGACCAAAAGTGATATAATGTGGGGGAAGGGAAGAAGGAAAGAGGGGGAAGAAGAAAAAAAGGAGGCAGACCCAATGAGGGAGGTAGTGAAAATAAGGTTAAGAGGACAATAAGGCAGAGCTGTAGAGGAGAAACGAAACAGAGGTGCAGAGCTGCTCAGGTACGGCCCAATCTGAGAGATAACAAAATGGGAGTTGGCTGAGTGTGTCTGCTTGTCCACGTCAGGCTGAAAAACCCTTTATGACACTGTAAAAACAGTGCTGTTGGTACAACTGCACGTTGCACAACTCTGTGTGAGCGTACATGCATCTGAGTGAGTGTATGACTGTTCCAGTGTTTGCCAAGTTTTCATAGTGGATGAATGTTTCATGACTTTTTTCTTCTCTCTCTCTCTCTCTCTCTTTTTTGTTTTTTTTTTTTACTGCACTTTGCCAGAGATTAGCTGTTCACTTTTTATGGTCAGGAGGGAGGCTGGATTGTCATTCAGCCAGAGAAAGGAGGAGGGGTCGGCAGACGGCAGAGCTGGGGAGGGGAGGGAGATAGAGGAGGAAAAAGGAGTGGCTTTCTGCAGATAGGCGCCCCTCTCCACCGGAGTAAAGTCTTCTCTCACAGGCAGCTCATGGGAGTGGAAATAAAACAGAAACTCTGATATCCAGACCAAAGAAGAAGAAGAAGATAAAGACTTGACTTCACGCCTCCTTTTGTACCAGGTAAGCTGGAGCCAGCTGATTTAGATTCCTTCCTCTGAACCATTCATTGTGTCTGATAAAAGCTGAAGGTGTGTGATTATTCCTCTCAGGAGGAAAGTGAGCAGCCTCTTACTGCTGACTGAGGGCGTTAACGTCTCTCTCTCTCTCTTGGTAATGACCTCTGGTCTGTGCTGCAGTCAGGCTGTATGAGGGTTTCACTCAACCATGGCATCAGCAGCTCCCCAGAAAAGGATGGTGTCCTCCGTCTTCATCACGCTGTCGGCCCCTCACCGAGCCACGGTGACACAGCAGCAGCAGCAGCAGCAGCAGCCGGCCCTCCGCACCCACGGCGGCCCGGACAGGCAGCACAGCGCTGCAGGTGATGACCTCTCCTCCCTCAGGCGGAGAGCAGAGGAGACGTCGCCCGCTAACACCGGCAGAAACTGGACCGGTGCGGGGCCCCGGGCCAAAGCCTCTGGCCCTCAGAGTCAACCCCGACCTGCCCCAACAGGAGCCACCAAAGCAGAGGTGCAGGAGAAGAGCAGGAGCTCTTCAGGTATTCGTGACCGAGCTTGTTTTAAAGTGTTTGTTCCTCGTTTGGGGCCTTTATTGTATCCCACTGTTTCACTCAGAAAGCTGCTTTGTAACTGTAGGGATTTCTAATCCAATCCTCCTCTGGGGTTCTCCACAGAAAAGAGCTGGAAAACATGTCAGACATTAATCAGAGCAGGGCTGTCCAAGCTTTCAGTCAAAGTGTGCCAAAATCTTCAAAAGTACAAGAAAAATAACAAAACTGTAATCTACGCTGCAAAAACACTAGTAATATCAAATATTTTTGGTCTAGTTTCAATTGCAAATATTTTTGTACTCTTGAAAAAAGGCAAAACTAACTTACAGGTAACTTTTCTGCAATTTTACTTTGTCTTAAATTAAATAATCAGCCAGTGAAGTTGGTACAGTTTTATCAAAATTAAACAATTATTCACTTTAAACAAGCTGAAACGTTACTTTTAAGTTAGTTTTGTCTTATTTCAAGCAAACTAAGATATTTGCTAAATAAACTCAACCAAAAGTATTTGGTAAGATTTAATTTTTTGCAGTGAAGCAAATAAAGTAAACTTATTTTCTTTTAGGAAAATGAAAGGGATGTTATTTATCACAGATCCAACACTTTATTTGACATTTGCTTTTCAAATTCTTTGAAGCTCTGTTGAATAAATATATTCTGTTATGAAACTAAATTTAGGCGAGATTTATAAATGAATTAAAATCTAATTCGGATGCAGCAAAGTCGGCTTTTCAGTCCCTGGATAGACGTGGTTCTACTTATCTTTTTTATTTATGCAATTCTGAGTTTCAGGAAGTCTCCAAGCTCAAAAATCAAACCTAAAAATGTAAGACTTAAAATTGTATTAGTATTATTTTATTTCCACATAAAAAACGAAACCAAATTTGCGCTCTAAAGGCAGAGACATAAACAAAAGAACAGCATCAACAAAAATATGGCGAATATTTAAAATCTGCAAATGTTAAAAAAAAAAGAGCAAATAGTTAAAAAATCTTTTTGGTTGGTTTTATCGGTAACACTTTATTTGAAGTGTCATGTTTATAACAACCCGTCATAAACATGAAGAAGTCTTCATGAATGTTTATGAATGTTGTCATGAAGTGTCATTCAGTAAATAACGTCATCTTTAATACAAAGTTGTATTAAAAGTCCATCAAAAGTGTTATTATTTACCGGGTGACACTTCATTCATAAACATTCGTGAAGATCCTTCATGTTTATCACAGTGTCATGTCAATCCCTTCCAAATAAAACCATTTCACCCATAAAGTAAATCTGAATATGTTGATTTCACTCCCAGCAGAGTTTTTCCCTCCTCCTCCTCCCGACGTTCTACCTTCATCGTTCTCTGAAGATGCAGCTCTTCCTCCTCCTCCTCTGTCCCTGACGTCTCCCCTCCATCCACAGAGTCCCGACCAGCACCCAGTTTCCAACAAAGAGGTATCGCATCCCATTAAAACCTTGATTTTCACGTCATAACTCACTGTTTTAGTACCGACTTTTCTTTTAAGAATTCATTAAACAACTCGCAAAGTCTGAGAAAAGTTTCTGTTTCTGTTTCTACAAGTTTCTCGAAACTTGTAGAAACAGCAAACTGAGAAGAAAATGAAAAGTGAATTAAATTCCTCACTTCAAAACATTTTCTTCTGTTATTGTCTGGACTAAATAAGATGTAACAAAAGATGAGGAAAAGGGAAGGGATCGCAACAGAAGATCCATTGTTTCACAGGCCAGTGTGTTTTTCTTTGAAAGTCTTCCTGCAATTTCCAACATTGTCCAGATTTTTCCTGCACACTTTCAGATGCACGAGATTTACAGTGACGTCACTGCAGCTGTGGAGAATTTTACACAGTTTATAGATTTAGAACAACGGAAGAATTTATAGTTTGTTGACATTCATGTGTTGTCAATTTCCTAAAATAATGGCTTACGTAATTTTTTATTTTGCCAGAAGTGATAATAATAATAAATAAATAAATAAATCACCACTCTTTCTTTCCAAAAGATATTTCAGGCCAAAAAAAAAAGAATCACTTTTGGCAAAAAAGTGACTTAGATAAGTATTTGACAATTTAGAGGAAAATCAATAAACTGGGCCCGGACAGATATTTGAGTCTCTATGTTGTTAATAAATTGTGTTTTTCAACTGTTGTTTTCAGTCTCAGTTTCCTTTCACGTTAATTTCATTTTCAGGTAAAAGCATTTTCACCAACCAGAGGCTCGAAACATGATGAAGAAACTAACGGGATTCACAGAAACAGCCAGGACGTGACCACAGAGAGCAAAGGTGGCAAGATTTCTATTTACACTTTCAGTTTAACATGAATTATCGTCCTATCTTAACGTTTAACATTTGCAACTGTGCAGATTTGTGTGGCTTCTGTCGGAAACCCATGGCTCTTTCTGAACCGGCGATAGAAGCCCTGAACAGGATTTACCACGAGGGCTGCTTCCAGTGCAGATCCTGCCACGTTCCCCTGGCTGGGAAGCAGTACTACAACAAGGCGGGAATCCCTCTGTGTGAAGGCTGCTATCAGGTGGGTCATCGCTCACTTACCTCCAAGAAAATAGATCAAGGTTAATTAGGGATGGGGGTGAAGGAAACACAAAATCTTACAATGAGTTTTTGGTCTAGTTTCTGGGCAAATTTCTAGCGTACAAGTAACTTTTCAGAGAGATTTTGGAGCCTGGTTCAAGTCAGTAATGTCTTATTTTAACGTGGGGAAAAATGTCTTGTTATTAGTGAGATAATCTGCTGGTGGAAGTAGCATATATTTTTAATCAATATTTTAAAAAAATTACAACAGCAACAACAGGAGTCAATGGCGTTTCAATTCCAACACTTTTTCAAGCAGACGCTGTATTTTTATACTCTGCTGGTCAGAGACAAGAAATGAAATCTTTATTTCTGAAAAAGCCCTTGAGGTCTAATAAAAACCTTGAAAGACATTTATTACATTTTGGAAAACTGTTGATCTAGATTTTAAAAATTCAAAATAAAATTTCTTCCCCTAAAATGAAAGTATGAGGTTAATAAGCTAAAGAAAACCTTTGTATGCTATTATGCATAGGACAGAGAGTTGCACTTTTCTGTTTAAAAACTCTACCTTATTTTCTCCATCTTTGCTATTTGTATTATTAACTATAATGCAAGTTATACTTAACTTGCATTTAATTATAACTTATCAGGTTATTAATAGACCTAATAAGTCTGTTATGAAGACTTATTAGGTCTTTATAATTAGTCAGTGCTGCATCTTTTCCTGTGTTTCAGGCCAGTTTGGAGCTGTGCTGGACGTGCGGGGAGATTATCACCGACCAGATAATCCGTGCAATAGAGCGAACGTACCATCCCTCCTGTTTCACCTGCACAACATGCAACCAGCAAATTGGAGCGCAAGCTTTTGCTCAGGGGGAGGTTGGTGAAGTTTACTGTCTGCAGGACTACTACAGGTAAAAAAAAGAAAACAATTACGTCAAGTGCTATTAGCAACAAGAATGTGTTGCAGGTCCTGTGGCATTTTGTTGAAAATGCTTGTAAAGGTTTTTTAAAGGTAGTGAAAGGTTTCAGTCTCTGAATGTTCAAAGCTGACAAACCCAAACGTCTGCCAAGGTGTTCACATAATGTATTGGATCAGGAGGAGTGAAGACTTGAAACATGTTCAAAATCTTTTCACCTTCAATTTGACCTTCAGCTTAATTATCATGAGGGAGAAAATAGAAGTTTTATTTTCTATTTCAAGCTCAGAAGGTGTGAAAAGAAACGTATACAAGTTCTGAAAAAGGATCACAATCATGCATTACTTTGTGATGGATGTTTTAACTTTACTACCATTTAATTATTTCAGTGTATAAAATGTGACGTTTTCTCTCATTTACGCCACTTTTATGTTCTAATTTAAAACCAGGAAATATGCTCCGATGTGTAGCGCCTGTGACCAGCTCATCATTCCTAAAGAAGACGGTACTGATAGCTACACTGTTGAGTGTCTGGGGCGCTCCTACCATGAGAACTGCTACAGATGTGGGGTGAGTATTTACTCTGCAGACAATCTCCTGAATGGACTTACTGACAAACATGTAAATAGGCAGATGCACGTTATTCTGCAGCCGGCATGTCTTTCTTCTCCTCTGCAGGACTGTGGCATCCAGCTCTCCCCTGAGCCAAATGAGCACGGCTGCTATCCTTTGGAAGGGAAAATGTTGTGCAAAGCCTGCCATGTCAGCCTGGTTTCCGGGCAGCAGTGACATCACCTGTGCTCGCTGCAAGCAAGAGAAAACTGAGTGTTCAGCCCAACGATTCACATGTGCCGTTGCAGGGAAGCATACGTCACAGTGCTTTCTTTGATATCGCATTTAATTACTTTCCAATGTGTCAGGCGTTCTGAGAAATACAAATAAACTTTTCTTTTATACTTGATCATTTTGCACTCGAGATAAAAAGGCGTTGAACATATTTATGCAACTGGCTTTGCAAAAACTATTTGTAACAAATTAGTAGAATCTGGATCATATTGCTTTTACTTATCTTTGTACAAAAAAAAATCAAAATATTTTAAGCATTTATAGAAAAACTAAAGTAACATAATATATAGCCTGTTAAATCAGGTTCTAAGATACATACATTAATTGGAAATGTTGCACACTCAGTATATAAGTGTATTTAGTTCATAATCATATAACAGGTTAAGACAAAGCACAGATCAGAACAGCAGATAAAGAGAAAGGAAGATTGCTAAATAAACAGGTCAGAGCCTGCATTATTCATCCTGATTTGTCAAATCTATTTTAGCTTTTTTAATAAATTGGTTTTATTTTTACAGTCTATATCTTAAAATGGCTTCTGGAATTACAGATCTTTTGAAATATGTAAAAAAAAAAATAAAAAAAAAATCTTTTTCTAAGAAAAACTGTTTTGCTGTTTTTATTTTTTTTAAAAAAAATCTATGACCAGTTGCAGACAAAACTTCTCTATTATGCTATTTTCACAAATTTATGATTTTTGTTAGGTTTTATTTAAGCCTTTAAATATGGACAGACTGGCCAACTTCAATAGCTGATTTTTATATTGCTGTTCTGGCCAATAATGGGTTTTTAAAGATGTTATATGTACATTTTCTTCATTTTTTAGAGTATTTATTGAGAAAAACAGACTTACAAGCGCTGAAGGAGAGAGGAAAGGGAAGTGGAGAATATTGGCAATGAACACACGAGGAAGCACCGAGGGACAGGCAGAGAACAGAAATGCTCTGACAAAGAAAAACGGAAAACTGGAGGATTAATTATTAGGAGGTGATTAGTGACATGGAAATAAGGTGAGTCAGAAACTGAATGTACTACAGCTGTGTTGGTGATGTGACAATGATTACTTAAGAATGTAGAAAACTAACAAAGCAAAGCAAACAAACTCAAAACGGAGCACAAACCAGTATGAGAATGACAAGTCAAAATTTGACAAGAAAGAGTGCTAACAGGAAAACAGGAAGTAAATGGAACACAGCTTACCAAAATAAAAGAGGAACTGAGATTCACAAAGACAGCCAGGGGAAGCCAGGTTAGCTAAGATTATAAGAGTAAACAACAACTAAGATTCATAAATAGAAACCAGGATGTTGCTGAGATTTTAATTCGACTTAAAGCAATTACAAAAACACACCATGATGCAAGAGAAACATTTTTTGGGAAAAAGTGTTCCCTCTGCTTCACATTTTATAATTATGTTTTGTTTTGTTTTGTTTTGATTTAAATCTTGAGTATACAATGATTTGCATATAGCTTTATATTTGTTGTTTGTCTAATTATATCATTGTTAAATATTGAATTAGATGTTATTATCAGTCTCTTTAAAAGCCTTTACGGAACATGTTGTACTTTTACTTGAGTAAAAAATATTTCAGCACAATTTTTGTGTACTCTGGCCACTTCTGATTAATAATAATCAAAGCAGGGTAGTAGCCAGTTGCATTTACTCAGTTACATTTAATGAGTAACTTACTGGAAAAAAAAATGTACTCTTAAAAGTGTATTTACACCTGTACTTTTGACTTTTACTTGAGTAATTTTATTAAATTAAATAAAATTTCTGGATACTCTTGCCACGTCACTGAATGAAGAATAAGCTTACTTTAACCTAAAATTCACCAGACACAGACACACACCTACAGTTTTTGTTAAAATATCAACAAATTTATTCTTTTGCCTAATTTTGTTGTTTTGTAATTATGTTATTTATATAAATTATTTCATTTTGATCTTTAAAATACTAAAATTTCCACAAAACTTAAATTTTTGGTTGATGTAATCTTTAAATATTAAATGACTGATATTTTGATCAGTTACTGGGTACTTCAGTAGCCTTTTTACAAAATATGTTTTAGTTTTATTTGAGTAATTTCTTAGATGACTACATTTTACTTTTACTTGAGTAAAAATAAGTTGAAGTAGTGCTAATTCTACTCTACCCACCTCTAGTAATTATGATTAAATCATGCAGAAATTAAGTATATATCTAAATAAAAATATATATACATTTTAATTGTTTATGTTGTGTATATATTTTCTTATTTTCTTCTACGTGTCGGTAACGTAGCTATCTTTAAACAGACATTTGTCTGCACTCGCACACAAAAATCTTGTGCTGATTTGCTTTCGTCATGAAACCGCGTGCTCGCTGCTCACGCATGCGCCTGGGTCACTCACGCACGCGGCTCGCAACCCGAAACCACCAACCGGGAGCGAGGCCGGCGCGCGTGCACGCGCTCTGATCGAGGACGCAGCAGAAGCAGCAGCAGCCAGCCAGCAGCTAAAGCTACACGGGGAGCAGGCGGTCGGGCCCACATCGTTCACGGAATCAACCGTCGGTCATTTTGTTCAGGCGGACCTCCGACCGGCAGGGGATTAAAAACGTGCGAGATCATATGTGTTTGAAGGGGGAAAGAAGATCGCAAGATGGTTCGGGAAACCAGACACCTCTGGGTGGGAAATTTACCCGAACATGTTCGCGAGGAGAAAATCATGGAGCATTTTAAAAGGTACGTTACGCAAGCGAGAGACCGTGTTTGCGGAGCTGCGCGCGCTGGCTGCAGCACTAACCTTTTCTCGATGCGAGGCTACGCTGCTAGCCCTGCTAACACCGCTAACGTTAGCATTATTAACTTTTACTCCTCGAGAGGTTTCCTGTATGGTGCGTGTGCTTTATTACATCACATTTGCATTTGTTTAAGAATATTTAACCAAAGCGACTCGCCCAGGCGTACATGTTGATATTTTAGAGTCTTCCGCTAACTTTTGCTAACGCAAGAAGGCAGTTAGCCGCTAGCCACCGAGCTACCACCCAGCCAACCATTTTGTGGGAAGTCGACAGGTTTTCGTGATCTGTGCAAGCCAAAAGACAGCCAGGGTCCACCGTAATGATGTGGAGGACTTTTGTTATTTTGATCACTCAAATACGATTTCTCCCTTCGCTGCCAGTCTAAAATCGTAGAGAAGTGTTTTTAAAAAGCCCAACTCTAAATCATTTTAATGAGCTTTCAGGACTCGGGACCAAATGTTAGCAAGTTGTTGAGCTGCACAGTGTTCAAGTCGGTTGCTGTCACTGAAACTACTTTAAATTGTGGTGCTGTAGGATTAACTCCACAGACCGCGAATCATTGTGTTTTCCTCAGTTGTCATCACTAAGGTTGATAGACGTCAATATTTACAGCTTTACAGATCTTTTATCGTTTTTTGTTTGCCTCGTAATTTAGAGGCCATTCTCACCAACAAACTAATCTAAACCTAACAAGAACGTCAATTTGTGATTATATCATTAGAATCAACTTGATTACTATAGTCTTTTTGTTGTTTGAACAGCATTTACAACACAAAGTGCCATTGTCCTGGCTTCAATGTAGGTTGTTTGTAATCTAAAACTGATTAAATACAAAAGGAAAATATATTTTCCTTTTGACACTATTGTGTTGCCTTCTCTGCTCTTGAATATCAAGTTTGTTCCATACAGAAAGACAGTAGGCTATTTTTGGATACTCTGAATGTAACTCCTCCTTTGTTGTGTCTGTAATTTCCTGTCAGGTATGGCCGCGTGGAGAGCGTCAAGGTTCTGCGAAAGCGAGGGTCAGAGGGCGGTGTTGCAGCCTTTGTGGATTTTGTGGATATCAAAAGTGCACAGAAGGCTCACAATGCTGTCAATAAGATGGGAGACAGAGACCTTCGGACTGACTACAATGAGCCGGGGTCAGTCCCCAGTGCTGTGCGGGGCCTCGAAGACAGCTCCCCCTCCAGCAGTCGAGACGTTGCAGGATTCCCTAGGGGAACAGTTGGCCCAGTGTTTGGCCCACCTGTGTCCCTACACACCCGAGAGGGACGTTTTGAACGGAGAATAGATGGGTAAGTGGACACGGTGTCCCTCAAAAAAAAAAAAAATCCAGAGTGCTCTAGGTTTCATTTAAGTGTAAAACCTGTACACATAGTGGGGTTGTTCATCAGGGAGCGGTACCTCCAGGGGTCACACAAAGGTAATCTAGGGATCACTCCACTCTTCATCACACCTGACTCGCCTTGCCCATGGGATTTAAGTAAATTAATTTCACTATCATTTGCAAAGGTAACTATATTTCAAGGTTTTTTTACATCTGGTTTGGATTTTACATCCAAGAGGAATATCCTGGTGAGCTGTGGATTTATTATGTGGGATACTACCTTGGGGAGATTTTGGATATGTTTTTTAATCAACATGGAATGTAACCCTGATTTATACATGGATTTGCCTGAAGCTGGAGATAAATCCCAAATATGAAGGATTTACTTTTTGCCTGAAGGATTTATTGAGGTATATCAATGTCCTGCCACTGGCCTATCATTTTTGACCCAAGACTTGATTGTTGGACTACTCCCTTTCCCAATATGTGGATATACCCTGTACTGGATTTTAAGTTTTAAGCAACTGGATGGAAGAACTTAGAGAATACACATCACAAGAAAGACTGAACAAATGCATATACCCCAAGTTTTCCAAGTTACTTTAGAGTAAAGTGTAACTGTTTTACTGATGCCATGCCCCGAATGTGGAAGTTATATTCAGAAGGCAGAAAGCGAACGCTCCCGGATCCAAACGGCAGTCTTCCAAGGTTTTTGGCGTAATTCTTCATCTGAGGAAGCATGAAGAAGGCTGGAACGTCGTGGATGCAGTTCGTCGTGGACAGAGTGATGTGGATCATACGGTGGCTAGGTTTATTGTTGCCATTTATCTGGAATACCAAGGTGTGGATGTACTGTGCCTGTGCGTGCGACCTCCAAGAGCCCAGGATGACTGTAAACAAAAAAAAGCCATATATTTCTACCAACACGCCTAATGGGATCGTTGGACTTTGGAATTATGCGATACCAAGAATCGAAAAGGATTTATTACTCTGTGATGTGTCTGATTCTTCCAGAAGTTAAGAAGCAGGATGTAATCCACTGGGATTTTTTTTTTTTTATTATTATTGGTATGTTTAGTTTTTTCTTCAATGGAATCGCTCAACCTTTGGGACATACTCCTTCCTTATTCTACCATTGCCACCAAGACTGATGATCCATGTGGATATATTTGCCATATTGCCTTCAAACATATTATTAGCTAGTTGACCTGGATATGCAGATTAAGTTCATCATCATATTTTTTTTGACATATTATCAAGTTATTTTTCCCCCACTCCATTTATTCAGATTTGTCAAGG